GGGGGGCAAAAATAGGAAAATCAACAATTTATGGTGAAAAAAATTTAAGTACACTGAAAATTACATTTACATGAGAAAAATCCTTAGTTGTCAAAGATGCAAGCGAATGGCGTGCACGTACATGAAACATGAAGGCTGCCTCCATCTTGGCACGGGTTAAGTGTGCACCCAACTCCATGAAATTACCAATTCTCTATCTTCTCGACTAATTACAACCTTACAATTAAAACGTTTGATCTGACAATTTTTGTCATTTTGAGTTGCTAAGACCAGGTCAGAAACCAAATCAATGTTGTATTAGCTGCTCTTTCAAAATCGTAAGATTATTAGAGGTCGTTATGAAGATATTCCAAGAATTGCATTCAAAATAGCCTGACGTGTTGTGAAATTCAAAATTCTTGACGTCAAATTTCTGAAAACAATGTACTGAGCAGAAATAACTTTGTAGCCATAGGAGAGCGAAATGTTTGAATATTGGACTGGTATTGTCGCAATTTTTTCAAGGGTTTGGATGTCAAGATCTAATCCAGTATTTGTGTCTCACCATAAGCATCAATGAGATGTACTTTCGAAAGCAACATGTCTCATGTCTAATTCAAAATTATACACGTATGACGTCATAGTAAAAGGATGCCTATTATACATTTGAAGTTAAAGTGTGGCATTTTATCCTATAGTCAAAAGTACAAAATGGCACTTGAGTAAACAAGGTGTGTATTTAGATTTAATTAAAAATAGATAGATGAATACATTTTTGAAAATAAGAAACTTACCAAACTGGAGTCGAGTGGGAATGGAACGGTGGAAAAAATCGAAGAACTGTTCTTCTACGTTTTTTCATAACGGTAGTCTTTTGTCTTGATTTTCCATTAAAAACTCCAAGTGGGTGGTTCGTGGATGCTCTTGGGTGGTTTGTTTCTTCTTTTCAATCAAACATGTGTCGCCCTTATCTCTCCTCCTACTTATTTGTGCTTGTGACTCTCTTGTAACATCTCTAAATCTGCTGCACTTGTATGACCTATTTGTACTACAAGTGCCATAACACCCTTAATAAAACTACACTAAAAACACTCCGAAGAAAGATAGATTTAGGTGAACTGTCCAACTGATTCTTCGCTCTGCAGTGTAACAATCTAAACGGTATTCCAGTAAGGACAACAGCACTATGGCACCACAAATAATTACGCCAAGGGCGGGGGGAATGGGTGAAGGATGGCGCTGGCACACGACGTGGAGAAGGGGACTGCACTTTACTTTAAACCCTTATTCGTAATAATAGCAATTTTAGCTTTCCGTCAACGTTTGAAGATGACCAATACATCAGCATGAGAGAATATTCCTCCAACAAAATAGAAGAATTAATTGTTTTACACAAGGGGGATAACTGCTGTGGCCACGGATACACTACCTGAAACACTACTTTGACAACTGTATACATGGGTGAACTCCCTTGTGTCATGTAACCATTAATCATATTACTAGTTATGAAGAATGGGTTCTCAAATTTTCTTCAGTAATATTGTAATAATTGTAATTGACGAAGTGAAATTTTTAAAAAAAGAATAATATTGTTCAAAATGGAATAAAGGTACGCTAGATACAGCCAGAAAAGGCCAATTTTGATGTCCATTACGGATTTTTATATTTTGGGCTGTTTTATTCAGAAACATCTACTTAAACATTTACAAATGCCTAAAAGAGCACCAAGGTTCTAGAAAATTGCACAATAAGTAAATATTTTGTGTTGGAATAGAGCAGTTCACAATATAACGTTTTTCCTTTTCAATTTTCTCAAACCGTTCAAAGGTCACCAGTGAAGAGAGTGATTGCAACGAAGACAAAAACATCAACAAAAAACTTATGAGAATGACTTGGATGTTTTCGAAGACAAAAACAGCAAAAGATGATGAGGAAGATCTTGATAATGTTGACAAAGACAATAAAAGCAACAAAAACTTTTGAGGAAAGTTTTGATAATGTTTATGAAGATAAAGACATAGACAACAACGAGTTTCAATAAAATCGAAACAAATTCAGTTGGGACGGAAATAACAACTTTATCATGCGTTTTTGCTTCACATCACAGTTTAAAAAGATTTGAAAATAGAAAATGCATATCACAGTCGGAGCGTAGAGTAAAAGACATATAATTCGTATATGTGTGTATGAAATATATATATATTATGAAATGATATATCATTTACATACACACATATAATATA